TACCATTTAGTAGCGGATTGCTGCACTGTTATGCCCTAACTGTACTCAGAAATCTCCATTGTGAAACCTCTAAGTTGATAAGGTTCTCAGACTTGAACTTTTCATAATGATAATGAGGAGGAAGACGTGCTGTAAATGAAACGTTCATTGAAAATTATGATTTCAACAAAGGATGTGCGATAGACTTGCCTCCATATGGTGCACCCTGAGCAACGTATACTCATATGACAAAAAGTCTATTAACCGGCAGTTGACTTCTGACTTCAAACTACCATGACCCCATTGTATGTCAAATTTGATCACTTCCAAATTACTCATCTTACATTTTCTCTGCCTTTGCGTGTCTGTCTCTTTTACAACTGTGAATCATTATTTTGTCCCCTCTCTCGACTATTTGCCACTTTGAAGTTCCTCCTGCTCTCTGTGAAGCCCGCATTTGGCTAAAAGACTAATGATAACTATTATAATCCCTGTCATTTGAAATAAATATATGAATAATATCAACAAACATAGATATCTTATACATTTGGCATAATTTGAATAAACGTCTATAATTGACTGTCTGAGCGGTGCTTTGTATGCAAGGCCTCACTCTCCAGAATGTTTAGTTGCGCAGTTTTATCGGCTTAATAATTATAGCCGGAGAGTATTTGTCAATTCATAAAAGTTTATTTTCGAAAGACTGAATACTTGTACCATTTGATGTAAGATTTATATTTGAATAAAATTTATTTTGTCAAGAAGCAGATTATACCTCAAAATATAAAAAAAAGATGGCACATCACAGGTTATATTTTAGACAAAGGATTTAAGTTTCTTTCGTCTTTATATATCTATTTTGAAATTCATATGTCTAACAAAATGATTTCGGTTAAACTCCTCATTTTAGGTCAATTCGAGCTTCCTTTTATTAGTAATAGAAATAATTAAATTTTGGTTAAAAAATCTCAACTGTAATTTCGCGAATTGATACTGATAGTCATGTGACATGGTAGTTTTGCGCGAAGACGAAATGGTTTTGACGTCTTCAAACTTCAATAAATCTTTATTTTACAATTCAAAAACTTCATTATATTGTAAATTTTAAGCATAAAGTTGTTCGCATTATCCCACCTTCCTCCCATATAGACCAGTCATGTATGTAGATTCAAACATTTTATCATTCCATATGACATAACAACAGACAAATCTCCCTTTAGAACGTGACATACCTTTATTTATTTTGCAGGTCAAATTAAACTTGAATATTTACATTTTGGAATGAATAATCTTGAAAATAAATTCATTTTTTGCCAAAATATACAAATTATCATCTAGGAAGTTATGATAGTGAGAAACACTACAATTAAGCTTATTTTTAAAATGATCCTGAAAACTTATTTTATATAAAAACACACATTTTTTTCTAAGATAAATGTTTAACCCAACCAATAATTTTTTTACCTAACGCTTTCGCGCTTTTTAAATTTCGGGCCAGTTTTTCAACTTCCGGTAGTTTCCATGTTTCCTACTCGTTTTGCTCAATTTCTTTGGAAATCAAACCAAGTACATCGTACTGTGCTGGTTGCTCCTCGTTATCAGCACAAGAGTGCAGCTGAACCATTCTTGAATGGTAGTTCTTCAAATTATATTGAAGATATTTACGCTGCGTGGCTGAATGACCCTAACTCCGTGCATAAGGTGCTTTGCATTTAACTTACTTCTATTTACTTAGTCTTGGGATGTTTATTTTCGTGGTGTCTCCAATGGAGCCTCTTTGGGGTCTGCCTATTCGTCTCCTCCTACTTTGGGTTTTGAGAAAATGAATTATGTGCCATTGGCTTCTCCTACTACGAGACCTTCTGCATCAACGGGAATTAGTGCTAAAAGTATTCAGGACCATTTGACCGTTCAGACGGTTATTCGATCTTATCAGGTATGTTTCTCAATTTTTTATGATGGATATTAGATTCGTGGACACTTGGCTGCCAAGCTTGATCCCCTCAACATTAAAACGCCAATTGAATCGTCCCGAGATATTGTATATGGGCGCTATCTTGGAGAAGCTGGTAACAAACATAGTTGTTTCAATTTATTGATCTATTTCTTTTTTTAGTTCTACCAGAAATGGACCAGGTCTTCCATCTTCCCCTTTCAACTCATATTGGTGGGGATCAAACTGAACTTCCTTTAAGGGAAATCATAAATCGGCTTGAGGTGTGTACAAAATGTTACCTATTTTATTTTCGTTGAAAGTAAATTGAGTAGTCTTTAATGATGCTTTCTTTCCTGACTCAATTGCTTGTTAATCAGAGTTTGTCTAGTGTAATACCCCTTTGGTATCTAAATCATGCTCTATTTATTTCACTCAATCAAAAGTGGTTTTCTTTAATGCGTTACGATGAAGCATTTTCCTTACTCACCGTAGATTTGTTGATAGTTTCAAAGAGGCTCTGCCCCTATAAACTCGATTTCTGCTACCATAGTGAAATTTAACAATCATTTTGTCTATTAAGTGTTAATTGATCTATTGGATATAGAAGTTTGGTATTAAGCTCGTTACATGTATGAAGTTGATATCATATTGTCTTGACGTTGGTAGGTTGTTTCCTTACGATTTTAACTTGCAAACTTGCTCATAGGCATATATTTTGGACATCTTATTTCCTCATTGGTAATGCTGCGGTTATCACTGTAATTTATATTTTAGGTTGCATATTGCCAATCAATCGGTGTTGATTACATGTTCATCAACGATCTTGAAAAATGTGACTGGTTGCGTCGTCGATTTGAAACTCCTGGGGTCACAAAGCTGCCGGATGAGGATCGTAAACTCCTGCTCTATCGTCTGACCCAGGCCTGCAAGTTTGAAGAGTATCTCGCCAAAAAATGGAGCTCTGAAAAGCGTTTTGGTATAGAGGGTTGTGAAGTCCTCATTCCTGCTATGAAGACTGTAATCGATGAATCGGTTGGGAGAGGTGTAGATAGTTTTGTTGTCGGTATGGCTCATCGGTAAGATAATATTTAACTTCCAATGAACTTGTTCAGATCAAGTTATTAGCCCTTCATTTCTCTTTTTAGTGGTCGTTTGAATGTCCTCGCGAACGTTTGCCACAAGCCTCTCTCTGAAATCTTTTGTCAGTTTGATCCGAGTTTGAAAGCGGCCGATGAAGGAAGTGGTGACGTGAAGTACCATCTTGGTATGAGTCAGCGTCGTGTAAATCGCAAAACAGGAAAAGAATTCAATATTGCTGTTGTGGCTAATCCCAGTCATTTAGAAGCTGTTGATCCTGTGGTTCAAGGGAAAACAAGAGCTGAGCAATTTTATCGGTAATTTGATAAAATGTTACTTCCTCACCCGTCCACTAGTTCTTTTTTACATGTTTTATTAGCATTGTTCATTTTAAGTGTGGGTCTGTAATAGACCGATCCGATTTATGTTTCTTTAAAATGCATTAATAAAATAGGATACTCGACTTTCAAAGGCTGGTTCTTTGAAAGGAAATGTCTAATGATATGCAAACATTCTTATGTTAAACGGTGTGGTTTAGCCATTTTTGTATTACTGTATTGCTGTTTTATTTTTTCCTGAAGCTATGACAACCGAAAGTTTAATTCTAAAGTGGCTTATTTTGAAATCCCTCGAATTGATGTTTTCCTTTACTCTTTTCGCAAAACTTGTGGTGTTATTGATAATAATTGCGTTGGTAAGATACTCGTTAACCTGATGTTTTCCCAAATATCAGAAGTCTCTAGAGATCATATTATACATTTATCGTGCACTACTTCTGAACTTTTTAAAGCTTATCTCACTCTTCTCGGATGCTTACAGTAAAGACTTTGAGGGCAAACATGTGATGCCAATTCTCTTGCATGGCGACGCATCATTTGCCGGCCAGGGTATTGTCTACGAGACGATTCACCTCGCTAATCTTCCCTCCTACACCACTCACGGAACAGTTCACATCGTCGTAAACAATCAGGTGAGAAACCAGCTTCAATTTGTGACATCTACTGCCTTTCTGAAAAGTTTGGTTGACCATTACGGAAATGATATTCATTTTCCAAACTTGGTAGAATTGCCTTTAATGATTTGACTTTATTTCTTCGTAAGCTACCTTTCCAAAGAGTGCTAATGACATGTAGGCTTTTTTGCAATCATTAGAAACTTATTAGGGTATTTACTTTTCTGTTTAATTCTTCAAATTAAGCCTTTTCTAATTATAAACAGCATTAAATTTCAATAAGTTCGCATTTAATTGTGAATTATTATACTATTTTCTCTTAGTTGACCAACAATATTGATTTCATATGACCCTGAAAATTAACTAGTAAAATTTTATTTTAACCCATTTCAAAGGTTGACCTGTAAAATTTTATTTTCTTTCTTTATACAGGGTACTAGTTGATATTCTTTGTTTTTTATCTTGTGCTGCATGTATTACTTCAAAGTTTGCCTTCAATTGGTGATAATATTCTTGCAAATGAACATTTAAAAACCGAAAAATTTAATCGAAAGTTAATTTTCCATCCTTCTGTAAACTGGATATTTTTCTGTGGTGTAACTTTTGTGCAGTATTTATTCTATCATAAAATTTGAATCTATCCAAACGTGAATTCGACTAATTAGGTGCTAAACTAGATGAAATCTTAAATGATTGCTTGAAATCGCTTCTTTGTAACGGAGTCCCGAAATTATGCCTTAGTATTGGTTTGAAATTCTTCTTGTCTATTATTATGCTAAGATGCAAATATCCTTCTAGTTTCATACATCACGTTGATTTGTTTGTGCGGCAAATATCAGCTTTTTACTACAGTCTTTGCTTTTCATGTAGATTGGTTTCACCACTGATCCTCGAATGTCTCGTAGTTCCATGCACTGTACCGACGTTGCCCGAGTGACCAATTCCCCCATCTTCCATGTCAATGCCGATGACCCGGAGGCTGTTGTCCACGTTGCTCGTGTTGCTGCGGAATGGCGAGCTACGTTCTGTACCGATGTGGTTATTGATCTAGTCGGTTACAGGCGATTCGGTCACAATGAGACTGACGAGCCTATGTTCACTCAACCACTCATGTACAAACGCATTCGGCAGATGCCCACTGTACTCGAGAAGTATTCCAAGCAACTTTTAGCCGAGGGCATTATCACAGAACAGGAATTTAAGGCAAGCGTCCTGTTTTACCTTAGAATTTTATTCCATAGCGGGCGCCGATGTGTAGATATTAGAATATTGATTAGCAAGAATGTCAATTTGGGGTGGTTTTACGTGTAGTTTTTATTCATCATTTTTTGCCATAAACTTAGGCCATATTTTTAAGATTTTGCTTAATGAAGAGAAGCGAGCACAAATCCGATTAAATATAAGTTATTGGCGTCGATTATCGCGCAGTATTCGATAGTCATTAATACAATGCCATTTGGCGCTTTGTTTTTTTGCGTCGAGCTTTTCTTGCTAAATAACAGAATTTGGTTGCACTTTTCGAAATTGGAGCTTCCAAAGTTTTAAAACTCCTAATCTTGTGATTGGGAGACTAAAATTTTCACACTTGATTTCTTATATGTCGATATCAAACTTATAAGCCTTACTTAAGGCCACATGAAAGGGTCTAATTTCTTGATTTGTAAGAACCTTTTCTTGAAGATTTTGTAGCCATTTATTAGTATAATCAATTAAAAATGTAAGGTAGTCCCAAATGTTTTCATCCAATATGCGAACTACTTTTAGATCCAAAATTATTGAAACTCGCCCTTTTTACCACACGAAATAAATTTGTTTCTTTCAAGCATTTGTACCTGTTACGTATGCAACAGTTGACTCGATTTTTTCGGTTAAGTTGATTTTCTATTAATTTCTATTCAATTTTCAAATTATTCCTATTTCTAGGATTCTCTTGAGGCCTATCAAAAGACTTGCGATAGCGCTTATACCGAAGCTAGGGCACAAACTGTCACCTACAATCGTTCGTGGATAGATTCTCCTTGGGAAAAGTTCTTTGAAAATCGTGATCCCATGCACCTCCCTTCTACTGGTGTTGAAGAGTCTCAGCTCAACTTCATTGGTAAGAATCCACAACCAATTATTATAGTACTTAACTTTATTTTGGCTAAATTTAACTTCCATGTTCATTAATATTTAAGGTGAAGCTGTTAGTGGTTACCCACAAGACTTCGTTGTTCACCCTGGTTTAAAAAGAGTTTTGAAGGGACGCGCAGATTTAGTCAAGAATCGTATGGCTGATTGGGCCCTGGGTGAATTCTTTGCCTATGGCTCACTTCTCATGTCTGGCCACCACGTCCGTGTCTCCGGACAAGATGTCGAGCGGGGAACGTTCTCTCATCGCCATGCCGTTCTACATGATCAGGTGAGTTCGTTGGCTACCTTCAAGTTTGTTGCAAAATCTGTTTATAATCTTGGTAATTGGATTAAGACTTCAATAACGTTTCCCTTGACTTGTTAATATCTATGCCACTCTTTAATTTTCCTTATTTTGGCAAAGAAATTATGCCTATTTTTGCTCTCCTGTTCATATCGGTTTTTCCGTGTTTCCAATATCCAGGATAACTGGTCAGTAAGGTAGGTCTCATCGTTCATTTTGTGGTTTGAACTTGTGCATGTGGGGTCGTTTTGCCGGCCCTATTTTTGTTTATGTCGGTCATGTTAGGACTTGTAAAGCCTAGGACTTTTTCGTATGATTGTTTAATGTTTAAACGGTGTTAATTATAACTTTCTGTTCAGAACAGGACCAGGCTGTGGGCCTTTATTTTTGTATTACTAATCCACGTTAGTCTAAAATCTGGAATTTTCATAATGGTGAAGCTTCTGTATACTAGGAATAATTAAAAATTGAGTAAGTTTGAAGTGGAGCTGATTTAGAGAATCGAAGAAAAATATCAAGCTATGCTTTGGCCGAATTCAATTTCATTAGGTTTTTCATTGTGCTCTTGGCATTACTGCACTACAGTGTTTCTTTTTTCCTACTTCGAGAGTTAGTTTAGTGTTTATTGGCCAGTTCTCGATATATTTACATTAAAACTACATTTTTGAGTATTAAGTTTCTCGAATGTTTCTTGTTTATAACTAGTGTAAACTGAAATTGTTTTTCCTCTTTTTATGGGAACAGCCACGTGGAAATAAAGGGGATGATAGGGGGTTAAGATTATGAATTTATTACCTATTTTCGTTTAACTATGTTTCTAATATCGTTAAAATAGCTCGAGAACGATTTGTCAATCGTGGGTTATTAAATTGGTTGCGTTAATGGCCAATATGGGGAAATTAAACATGACATTCACTCTCATGTAAGCGCACACTTCTCCGTTAGCAATCACTTATTGGATGTTGGTCTGTGCGTCCTATGAAAAAGTACCTTAATTTTAGATCGATGTTTATCAAAGCATGTTTATGAACTTATTTGATGTAGGTCAAGGTTGTCAAATTCATACATCAAGATGTATAACAGGTTTAAGTAAATCGTTTATCCTTTTCCAAATGCCATCTTTATTTTAGACGATGATTGATTGATATTTCTAAGCCACTGATTGCAATGGAGAAATTTAATTTCGGTTATTGTTATGTCGTCTAAAGTGCGGCATTTAAAACCCAGTATTGGAATAGAAATTACGGTTCAAACTTATGGGCAATTCGAATGTTTTGGAGCTGTGTCTTAATATAAAGTATTGTTTAGATGGCGATTATTCTTCATTTCTTTGAAATTTATAGGACATCGACCAGAGAGTGTATGTCCCACTGAACAATCTCTCTGAGCATCAGGCTCCCTTCACAATCTGTAACAGTTCCCTCTCCGAGTTCGCGGTCATGGGGTTTGAAGTGGGCTACTCCCTTACTAATCCTAATTCCTTGGTGATTTGGGAAGCCCAATTTGGTGATTTCGCTAACGGAGCTCAAAGCATTATTGACCTCTACATTAGTTCAGGTCAACAGAAGTGGGTCCGTCAATCCAATATTGTCTTGCTCCTCCCTCATGGTATGGAAGGTATGGGTCCGGAGCATTCTTCTGGTCGTATGGAACGATTCCTCCAGCTCTCTAATGATGATGAGTGCTATATTCCGGTATGAAATTATCCTCTTAATTCTTTTTTGAACGCGAAATTGCTTGATTTATCTCCTCTTGATTATGATGATTTCCCAAGGTCTAAATGTTGATTGACTGATTGGGATTGTGGTCTTTTCTCACTAAAGATTCTTTTAAAATGCCCTTCAGATAAATGTTCCACTACAATATAATTTCAAGGTGGGACAAGCTTTTCTCTAATCATTAGTCATTCGTTTCTCTTTGCTACTTCGATTGCTTAGAATCATCGAGTAATATCTCAAGGGTGAAGAAACTGCATTTGTTGTTTTTTTTTAAAATTGTTAAAAACCTCATTTATTGCTTATCAATAGGTCCTTTCATAGTCATTTTCTATTTTATATGACTTGTTTGAGTCTCGCCTTTGAAACCTCATTGGCTATCCCATTTTACTTGCACTTTTATTCAATACCTACTTTGCAGTAATGTATTGTCTGAAAAATTCTCTATAATTGTCTTTTTTATTTCTCTAGGTTATGAATGAGAACTTCTCTCAGGAACAACTATTGGAATCTAATTGGATTATTGCCAACTGCACTACTCCCGCAAATATATTCCATATTCTGCGGAGACAAATCCTTCTGCCTTTCAGAAAGCCTGTACGTTTCCCTTTTTTATGAAAAGGGGGGGGGGCACAACGAATAGTTCCCTTAGTTCTACCAAGTATCTAAGCGTTACTTGATTTGGTACCTGGTTCAATAATTCAAACTTGTTCGGATTAGTGAGCTGGTTGTAACCTATGGCAATTGTTGAAACAGCAAGTTAGAGACCAATTGTGGCATTCAAAGTTGATAGAGATGTAAATAGTAAAATGAAAATGAATAATAATATTGTCGTTTGTTTCGTTGTCTTAACTGTTTTTTTCACTAACTGACGCTGTTCTTTTTCCTCTGAATTTCGTCATTATCTTTTAATTAAGTCTTTGAATTTAAGTCTGTGTGTGTTCACAAAAATGACTCAAAGACACTGGCAGCCATTCCACTCGTTTATGAGTCACCGTCTTATTGTGAGTTTTTTCCTTATTCGACTTCGTTTTGCATCCTGGACCTTTTCTCAACGTTCTATTATGTTGAAGCGCGTGATATATTTTTTTCGCTGCTTTTATCCCTCCTCTTATCACTTAATGTAGTTAACACAGTGCAAGAATAATTCTTAAGCTCATTATAAAGATCGATGTCTTATCCTGCTTTAAAGGGGTTCCTAAATGTTTGGTATTTGAAATATTTGTGCAGATATTTGATGCTTTCCCAAAGTATTCTCAATTCTTTTGTTAAATAAGCGTACGCTTTGTTTTGATTAAGTTGGTTGTCTTCTCGCCGAAATCGTTGCTTCGTCACCCAGATGCACGCTCATCCTTTGACGATATGCTTCCTGGCACCAGTTTCCAACGTCTCATCCCCGAAAAAGGTCCTGCAACTGAGAACCCTGAGAATGTGAAGAAATTGATCTTCTGCTCTGGAAAGGTATGCTATGTAAACCTAATTTGTTTGATGTTGTGATTATGAGGTTTTGAAAGGGGTGTCGTCAAATAAAACTTTCACTAAATCAAATTAACGTCCTAATCAACTATTTGCTATCGGTTTTTTTGTAACGAAATAACAGAAAGTCGCTCATGAGATAAGGTTTAGTTTTGGAATTTGCGTTCTCACTTGCCATTTCAGCTTTTTAACTTGTGATCTTGAATTTTCCGTGGCACTTCTTGGCAAATTTTGTTCATAGTTTGTTAATAATCCATTGCCATCTTTGAATTCGAATACGGCTTATTTCGGATTAATCCGTCTGTGAAATGCTTTCGTGGAACGGCTCTGTAGTACTCATTTATTGCAAACGTCTGAGGACCTTTTTGGAATGCCTGAACCTGAAAACTGGTATTAACAGGCGTTTGCCTATTCTGGCATTTTATGAAGTGACGTTCCTTCGGGTTCTAAAATATGTGGCCCGTAATTTTGTACTGATCAAGTTCGTTTTATCCAGACTTTGATGCAAGCTAAATTTATTTTTGAAAATCACTCTGATAGGCAGATTTGAAAAAATTTCCCAGGTCCATTAGGAAAAATATTCAAAGGACTTCAATTGGACAGGTGCCAGAGTAACTTGCCTTCTACCACTAATGTTGACCTGAATTAATCCTGTTATGTGTTACTAGATGGGCATTTAAATTGTAACCTTTCTTACGTATCTCTCTGATTTTCAAGATCGATATCAAAATCTCCCATCTTTTAGGTTTACTTCGACATCAAAAAGCACATTGATTCTGCTGAAAAGTCTAGAGAAATCGCAGTGGCCCGAGTTGAGCAACTGACCCCACTGCCTTATGATCTTATTAAGGCTGAATTGGAGCGCTATCCCAACGCCGCTGTTCAATGGGTACAAGAGGAGCATCGCAACCAGGGTGCTTGGAGTTATATTCATCCTCGCATTGAACATCTCATCCAACGTGAGATGCCCAATCGTGTGCACACCAGTCTGCTGTAAGTTAAAATCCACTTAACTGATATATTTATTATTTACGAGGTTCATGTCCCTTTTTGCCTATTGCAGTTATGTTGGTCGACCTGCTAGTGCAGCACCTGCAACTGGTCGTAAATCAATTCACTTGATGGAACACTCGCATATCCTCAAGGCCGTTCTTCAGACAAAGTAGCTGATAACAATCGCTTGTAATTTGCCATCGATCAAAAGCATATCGCTGTCATCCTCACTCTTTTCCCATCTTTATTAATGCATAATAATTTCACTTTTCTATATGCATTTCTCCTCTCTACTAGTCCTAGACTACCTGATGGTATTTTTCATCTGCTCTGTCCTCCGTTAGGGTACATTGCTCTTGCTCGTGTTTCTATTCCGTTTTCTTCTCTTTCAACATTACCCTATTTCTGCATATTGGAACAAAATATCAGACTCGCGCGTTCTTTTATAGAAGATGTTGAGTAATTTTTTGACCTTTTTTCGGAGTATTTTATCACTATGATCTCTTATTTTAAGCCATTCGCAAAAATTGATACGTTAGTATTCATGAGGGCTTGTTACAGGAAGTTTTAAGTAATTATTATCGTTAAGTTAAACATGGCTCTGCAAAACCAAGTATTGGGTTGGCAACTAAGTCATTGCCGTTTTTGTTGTCGGATTCACTCTATACTTTCTTTTGTTCTGTTAACGTGGCCAGAGCATCTAACCTATATTTTTTTCTTACTGTATGGGCTTCTAGGTTAATTAGTAAAAAATTTTTTTGTTTAGTTCTTTAGTTTTGTTTTTATCCCAATTTAAAAATGAAAGAACAGGACGTGCACTTCCGACACATTTTATTGTATTACTTCCGAAAAGGCAAGAACGCATCGCAAGCACAAAAGAAGTTATGTGCCGTATATGGAGATGAAGCCTTAAAAGAAAGGCAGTGTCGAAATTGGTTTGAAAGATTTCGTTCCGGTGATTTTTCACTGAAAAATTCACAACGATCTGGCCGCCCAGTCGAAGTGGATGAAACTCATATCAAGGTCATTATCGATTCAAATCGTCACAGCACAACACGAGATATTACAGAGAAGCTCAATGTGTCGCATACACGCATTGAAAAAAAGTTAAAAATCCTTGGTTATGTCAAGAAACTTGATTTATGGATCACTCACCAGTTAAAGGAAATTCATTTGACGCAACGGATTAGCATCTGTGATTCGCCGCTACTGAAACGCAATGAGAATGATCCATTTCTGAAGAACCTAG